GTGGAAAAAGTTCGTAAAGTTTATGTCAGACCTCCTATAAAGGTTTTTGACAGTGAACCCGATGATTTTCGTTAATGAGTAGGCGACGCTTTTGCGTATTCTGACAACTTTGTGGTGGAACTAATAAAATTAAAAAGAATTAATAGTATGCATTAAAAATAAACTAATAAACTAATAATACAACAAAATAATATTTATTATATAAAAAATAATAAATTAAAAATAATATTTCAATAAAAAAGAAATAATCCAAAAAAATGAGTTAAAAAATTAACTAAAAAAATTAATAATCTGATAATGTTATATTTATTAGGATATAAATATTATAAATTAAAAATAATATTTATTAATATATAATAATCAAATAAAAAGAATTACTCTAATAAACAAAATTAACTAAAACAAATTAATAATTCAATATAATAATAATTACTAATATATAAATATTGTATATTAAAAATAATATTTATTCATATATTATAATCCAATTAAAATATCTGATAACAAAGAAATTAAAAAAATTTAATTAAAAAAAATTAATATTCTAATTAAACAATATTTATTAATATATAAATAGTATATATTAAAAATAACATTTATTAATATATAATAATTCAATAAAAATAAAAAGAATATATGTAGAAATGGTCCTTGTAGTTAGGCTCCAGAAATAGTCCATGGGGATAAAATAGTTATTTTTAAAAAAAGTAACAACCATGCTGTTAAAGTTAACGGAAGAGGGACCAAAACCACAACAAAACTTGTTCAAAAGGACCAAATCTACAACTTTTCAAAGGTTTGGATCTTAACCACACAAAATGAGAAACCACATGGACCATTTTTGCAATTTTGTCGAAGAAAATAAAAAAATGAAGTGCTAGGAGAATTACCATTCCCTATCAACTACTAAGATTAGGTGCTAAATGATCAAAAATAAAATGACACTCAAAAATTTGATATGACAAAATGTTAGAAGTGTTACCATTCTCCTTAACCTAAAGCCTAAAATGATTATTAGATCAAGCCAGACAACTTAACAACATTCCAAGCCACATGTCATGGACCAAGTTTCTGGAAAATTCCACGATCGTCTAGAGAACTCCGGCATGATCAAGTATACTCGAGAAGTCTAGAGATCAAGAATGCTCTACGAGATCCTGAATAATGCTAGAATATTATAGATGTCCGTGGAACAAAGGAGAACGATCGGGAATAATCAAGAGGGCACTAGACGAAGCTTGAACGACTCGAAAGACTTTGGAACGATCTCGAACACGCTAGATCATACAAGAGTGATTTGGATAATGTCGGGACGACCTAGAGATTTCTAGAGCATCGTAAACAAGTATACTATATTCTAGAGTCTTGTAAAGGCCATGTATATAATAAGAAGAGTCTAGATTAGTCAAGAATGATTGGTACCTAGAAACTTCCATTTGAGGAGGTGTAAGGTACCTATAAATCGGAAGGATGTCTCATTTGTAGGAATCATTGGGAAGTTGCCTTATAAAGTAGTCGAGTCTATAATAGAAGCTTTCTTTCTTACTTCGTATCATTCCTTATCGCATCTCTTGCTGTCCTATTCATTAGTACATCGTAAGGAAGTTATCCAAGCCTGACTTAGTCGCAGAAACACTAAGTGGCACACGGTGATTGATTTATCCCGTGACACGTGGTATCAGATCCAGAGTTCGTACGAACAAGAGATCGTAGCAATGGAAGGAAGAAGTGATGTAGCTAACATTCCCCCTGTTGCTGAGGAGAAAGGAAGGAGGTCCAAGAAGAGGGACTAATCAGTAGATACCTTGGCGAACGTGGAGAACAATCTTACCAAGGTTGAGATTAGCGTTGGTGAGATCCTTGAGTGGAAGGATACAGTGGATCAGTTCGTTAACAACATAAGGGACACAAGTGATGGAATGAAGGAGTCCATCAGTGTCATCAAATAAGAAGTCCTTGAATTGATCAATACATTGCGAAATGAATATCGTGAGAAGGTACCCACATTAGAATCTGAAGTAAACCTATGTGAAGCAGCGATAGTCGGAGGAGTTGTTGCGAAGATGACACCATACACAGAGGCACCCAAACCATTAAAATATGGAGGTAAACGCGACCCCAAAGAACTTGACGAATTCTTTTGGTCGATGGAATGTTACTTCAATGCTAGCCGAGTGACAGACGACAAGACGAAGGTCGATATGGCCGTCCTTTATCTCTGCGAAAGCGCAACTCTTTGGTGGAGAAGGAAGCATGGAGACATTGAGAAAGGCTTATACACCATAGACACCTGGTAGGAATTCAAGAGGCAACTTAAGAGACAATTTGCCCACATAATACCGAAGACATAGTGATGAAGAAACTTCGTGGGCTAAAGCATAGTGGATCCATCCGAGACTACATAGTCGAGTTCACAAGCTTGATGCTAGAGTTACCCGACATGCAAGAGAAAGACAAACTTTTTATTTCATGGATGGACTACAATCTTGGGCTTATAATGAGCTCAAGAGGAGAAATGTTAGAGACATCGACGAAGCTATCACCGTGCAGAAGATCTAATGGAATTTCGAAGAGAAAGCATGGTTAAGAAGAATAGTAAGGGAGAACAGACTATGTCAGAACCGGAACCAAAACAAGACACACCCCAACCTTTAAATACGAAATGATAAGCAATCGAAGGAAGATACCAAAGAGAAGAACGGGAGGAGATCAAGTGCTACTTGTGTGATGGTCCTCACTTGATCCGAGACTGTCCGAAGAAAAAGACATTTTATGCGATGGTGTTGCAAGAAGAAAAAGAAGAAAAAGAAGCTCGCATGAATTCCATGCGACTTCTAAACTCTATGGAAAAAGAGGAAACAAAGGAATCGAAAGGGAGTGGTTCTACGGTAGGAAATCTCATGCTAGTCGAAGCCAAGATGAATGGAGAAAATACCAAGGCGCTAATAGATTCAGGTGCGACTCACAACTTCCTTTCTGAAAACGAAGCAAAGAGATTGGGGATCCACTACATGAAAGAAGAAGGCCACTTGAAGGTTGTCAATTCTCCATCCAATCGTATCCTAGGAGTTTCACGTGGAGCACACATGGAAATGACAAAATGGGAAGGCACCATTGACTTGGTAGTCGTACCCATGGACGACTACAACATGGTATTAGGAATGGAATTCCTAGACGAAGTACGTCCATGGTCGTTCGAAAGTGATGACACTATGCATATTACTAAAGGTACAATCATTCACATAGTACCTCTGGAAAGGAGTAGAACAAGGTCTCGAACGCTATCGACTATGAAGTTTAACAAAGATCTTAAAAAAGTCCTGAAGATACGGAACAATACCCTAAGTTGGAAGAAGGAACAGAACTGACAAGCGACTAGTAATCATAATGATCGAATCAAGAAGTATGTGAGACCAAACAATGTAGTTCAAGGTATCGACACATGACGATGCAAGATAGGGTCGCGATCAACCTTGAGAATTGGTCTGATATTCCATGAGGCTACAAGAAGATCCAAAACTGACATGGAAGTAAGAACACAAGTGACACCTCACTTGAAAGATCGTTATACAAGAAGACTTGGCGTGGACGTCAAGGGATTAAGTGGGGGAGGGTGTCACGAACCATGTTTCTAGAAAATTCCACGATCGTCTAGAAAACTCCGACATGATCAAGTATACTAGAGAAGTCTCCGGAGAGATCAAGAATGCTCTACGAGACCCTGGAAGATGCTAGAATATTATAGATGTCTGTGGAACAAAGGAGAACGATTTAGAATAATCAAGAGGGCATTAGACGAAGCTAGAACGACCCGGAAGACTTTGGAACGATCTAGAATACGCTAGATCATACAAGAGCGATTTGGATAATGTCAGGATGACTTAGAGATTTCTAGAGCATCATAGACAAATATACCATATTCTAGAGTCTTATAAAGACCATGTATATAATAAGAAGAGTCTAAATTAGTCAAGAATGATCGGTACCTAGAAACTTCTATTTGAGGAGGTGTAAGGTACCTATAAATAGGAATGATGTCTCATTTGTAGGAATCATTGGGAAGTTACCTTGTAAAGTAGTTGAGTCTTTAATAGAAACTTTCTTTCTTATTTCGTAGCATTCTTTATTGCATCTTTTGCTATCCTAATCGTTAGTACATCGTAAGGAAGTATTCTAAGTCTGACTTAACCGAATAAACACTAAATGGCACATTGTGATTGAGTCATCATATGACGCTTCTTTTACTTTAGTGTTTACCTAGACAACTATTTGTTTTTATTTATTTATTTATGACAAATTATGCACGAGCATATTAACAAGTTTATACTCTATCAGGTTGTCTAACTGCTTTATTTTATTTTATTTTTTATTTTCTATTTTTATTTTACAAGCGAGTACATTAACGTGCTTATACTTTATCCATTTAGACAACGTTTTTCTTCTACTTTTCTTTTTTAATTTTTTATTTTACAAATGATGTGTTTATATTCATCTATTTAGACAATCCTTTTTTTTTCCTATTTTTATTATTTTTTATTTTACAAACGACTGCATGAGCACATTAACGTGCTTCCAATTTCTAAACAGTAATGCGTAAGTACCGGTGCACCGAGGACACTTATATTTATAAAATAAACAAAGTTTACATCAAATGAATATGATCAACAACACCACAACAAGAATCGAGACCCATACGATAAAAGTCGACACTTTATACCCATTTGATTAGTGGAAACAAATTGTTCATTATCCACTTAATTAATTGTATTTGTCAAGATCATCTGCACTCAACCGATCACCATAAATGGAGACAAAATATAATACAGGAAAAAAAAAACTCAAGTTAAATATTACTGTTTTTGCTTAATTAAAGTACGATACGGGGTTATCTACAAATCTTTAACTTACAACTACCCTAAAATTCCATATGACGTCAGCAGAACGAACATGTTTTCCCTGATAAATACTACTTATCGATCTAACAATTAATTTCACAGCGCTTATAAACCCAAATCACCTCCTAAATCAAACCCTAGATCATCTAATGTAAAATTATAATCTTCGGGTCTTCCGGGCATCAAAAAATCAAACCCATAACCACCACTACCATCTTCTTCCTTGCTCCGGTTGCCAACCTCCGGCAACTCTTGCTGCCGCCAGTAGGACGCACTCCTCCGGTCAACTTCACCACCTTGATCATGCACTTGGTTTCCCGGGTCGGGTTTCAAACCCGGGCTTTTTTGATCCATCAGTTCTAGAAGCTCTTCCATATCAAACAACTCATGATCAACATGAACGTTTTGAAAATCAATCTCATCAGGTTCTTCCTTAACTTTAACATCTTTCCCATCTTCCTGATCATCTTCAACTTCTTGTTTAACAGTCGTCATCAATGGCGGATTACCAGATTCGTTGCTATTCGATTCACAATCATCTTTGACCATTTGACTACCCGACCCATTTTTGGAGTCTTCAGAATGGCTACACGTTGTAGTGGAGTCGCAACTTGAAGCACCATTAGGAACCACCATTGATTCGGAATAATACTCACTCATGGTTCGACAGTTTGGGAGATTGAGACGAGCACAAGGACCATACATGACTCGGGCAGCTTCATCATAAGCTAGGGCAGCTTCAACTGCTGACCCGAAAGTTCCAAGCCATAATCGACTACCTCTATTGGGTTCTCGAATCTCAGCTACCCATTTACCCCATGTTCGTTGTCTTACACCTCTGAAATTACACCTCGAGTTCTCAGGTCCTCCTTTACCTTTCATGCAACCTTTTTTTGACCCTTTTGCAGGGACTTTACGTGTTGGTTTAGCTTTTTCATCTAATTTATCGATATTCTTGTTGTATTCCTTCCATTTCGCAAGAGTTTCTGCTACCCCTTTTGGGCCTTCGCGTCTACTTCGTGTTTTTCTCTTTCGGGAGGACTCCATTGATGAAGGAACTTGAGTAGAGTTAACCATTTGTGTGTTTCTGAATACAGAACAAGAAATGAGCACAGGTATTTAATATATGGGGTGAAGAAACAAGTGGTTAAGAAAAAGCCAAATGAAGAGGATTTGCTTGGTGCCGAAGTTAGCTACGATTTATTAGTATTAAATAAAAAAAGAAAAATTCAATTTTATCTACTCCAGAAGTTTTCTTTTTCCCAAAGTCTTCCACCATTAAAAGCCAATGCAGTGTTATTCTTCGATTTAGATATCAATAACAAAAAAAAGGTTTCCATGAAATTTTCCAAACAGATCGAGGGAAAAACCTTAACTCAGACAAGAAAACTAACAGAAATTTGCGTAGAAATGAGAATCAGATCTGAAATCAAACAAATTTCATAACAATCGAAGCACAAACATACCTGTTGATGAATATAGGCAGCAAATTAAAAACAAATTCACTTTGCTTCAAAGTAATTAACGATTTCACTGTCTAGAATCTTCAAATTCGTCGTTATCCTGGCAGATTTTGAGATAAGCAGTGCAGAATCTCGATTCTCGGATGTTTTTCTGTGGGTTTTTGGGAGGTAGAAAGCAGGATTGGAAAGAAAATGAAAGGAGTCAAACGGATTTGTGATATTTATAAGCTTCTCTAGATAGCTCTAGTTTTATTTATATAATATAATAATTAATTTTTTTATTTTTGAATTAAATAAATATCTGGATAGTAATACGCATGACGTGTTCCATGATTTGATGGATCCGTGGCTTGCCGGAATCTGGGAGTTTTGACACGTGGCAACAGAAGGGTCATGATTGCGGCTCAATTTTAGGTTTATCCTTTCTTGATGCCGAAGAGTCTCGATTTTCTAAGATTGGCCCCTACAATTTTCATAATTGCAATTATTCCCGGTCAAAATTTTAAATACCTAAAATGCCCTCCATTTAATACATCACCTCATACTTCATCAAAAACATAAAGTCCAAAGGTGCGAAAACAAAATTGTTAAAGGATTGCATGAGGGATTCTCTATAAAATCTGAAATTTTATTTAATCTGACATTTGTAATTGAAGTCTATAATTTATTTATGGAAGTAGATTTTTAAGTTAAATAAATATGAGTATTTGAGTAAGGATCAAGTATAAATGTTTTGCAATAATATGAGTAGTATGTTTTATTTCAGAAAAATTAAATATTCTTTTGCCTTTTATTCTTATAAATCTTTGTACCCAATTAAATGGTGATATGTGTACCATTTAATGTTCATTTAATTTAATGAAATTTAATGATATTTTAGTATACCAATAACACATTTCATACATTTAAATGGGTAGAAAAATTTATAGAAATAAAAAGATAGAATGATATTTTATTTCATGAATACATGAAATCCAAAAGATTTGATTAGTGGATATATACAAAAAAAAAAAAAAAAAAAAAAAAAAAAAAAAAAAAAAGTATATATTTATGACAACGTTGGCATGTCTACAAAAGGCAGTTTAGGAAGTGGGGTGTGTATATCACCATGTTAGTATAAGATACTGACCTTATTTTCATGAATAATATAGTAGGATTACAAACTTATTTATAGGCACGAGAAGGAAACCAAGAAAATCTACAATACATATACATAGTCAAATATATATATATATATATATAGAGAATGGTTCAAACGAGAATTCAAAAAGATTAAGAACTCTAAAAACCCCTATAATTATTAAACATGCTTAATAAACATATAAAAATCCTAATTTTTAGTGCATTTTCTTAAAAAAATGGAAAATTCAGAATTTTTACAATTTAGTATTTTCATTCATAATTTATTACTATATATATAATATAAATTATATAATTTAATACAGTCTATTTACAGTTGAATTCATAAAATTCACAATTTAATACAATCCATTTTACAATAATTCAAAAATTCAAAGGAGTTAAATAAAGTTTATCATCACCACCCACTACAATACGCTGTCACCAATCCCATGTGTCACCATTGCAACTATCATTCATTCAAAATCATATCTGTGTGTATATAAAATTATATATTCACCGATTAAATACTTTATTCACAGTTTAATAAAATATTAATTCATTTATTTAGAGTTAATGTAAAACAATTATAAACTATTACATTCTTACATATTTATACAATACAGAAAATTAATATATTTACAAGAAAATTAATACAAAATTCAAACATAAATAATTCATATTTTAACAAAAAATTTTAAAAAATTTACAGCTTAATGTAAGTCACAGTTTCACACAGTTAGTTTAAAATGTAATACAGTTAGTTTCCAACTTAATACAGTGAATTCACAATTTAATACAGTCGATTCACAACTTAATACAGCGAATTCACAATTTAATATACAAAATTCACCGTTTAATATAATAATTTCACATTTTAAATTATGTATTATACACAAATTAATATAGTAAATTCACAGTTTAATTCTGTCTATTCACAATTTAATTTAGTCTATTTACAGTTTTTTTACGACCAACAACATCATAGAGGATAGAAGTAAAAACCTACAATATTATTTGAACATTTAATTCATTCGTACGCAATTTAACATAAAAATTATATAAAAATCACAATTTAATATATCAAATTCACAATTTAATTCAGTCTATTTATAGTTTAATTTACAAATCCACAACTTAATGTAGTATATTCACATCTAATTCAATATATTCACAATTTAATACATATTTCATCAAATATGAAGCTCTTACCATGCTACAATAATCATATATCGATTAAAAAAATCATAGTTTAGTATACTATTTTGTTTATATTTCACAATTTAAAAAATTAGTTCACACTCAATCATAACTTAAAAGATTATTATGCATTCGCAACTTAATAGACTAGTTTAAATACTCATTCATAGTATTCACAGCTTAAAACATAGATCTTTTCATTGAGACATTTCATCAAACACCTTGTGTGCATGTTGTTTTTAGAAATTAGTTTTCAGAAATCAAAAAGAAAGAGAGCAAAGAAGGGAGGCGACAACAGAAGATGATTTCTTATTTAAAAAAAAATAACCAGATCTTACCATAAAACATCATAAGACGGTGAAACCTACACCAGCCACCAAAAAAGACGAGTTTTTGTTATTTCTTGATAAATCTGACCACAAAAAAACTTTTTTGGCTTCAGATTTGCTCCGGTGTAGTCGGAATTGCCGGATCTGAGCTTGTAATTGTATAGATCATCATGAAAGCAGATCTGAAGCAATGTGAAGGCGGTGTTTGGAGGAGAAAATGACGATTGTGGTGAAGCATAAGCGGAAGGATGAGGAGTTGACAGCTGGTGGAACAAATCTGATACCTGGAGGTGTTTCTGGTGGTGTTTGTGGCGGAGCAGATGCGAGAGGAGTAAAATAAGGTCGCGAAAATCACAAATCTAGAAGATCTAATGCAACGATGATCGGAAAATCATAGATCTGGAATATCTAATGCAATGAAGATCATAGATCTGTACCAGAGCTCTCAGATCTGAACGTCGGTGGTAGCAGAAATCATAGATCTGAACCAAAGATTGCAGATCTGGAGGACAGAATGTCAAATCTGGACGGCAGAATGTTGGATCTGGTGGTTGACGATGAGCAGCGCCGATTGTGTAAGGTTCTGGAGGCGACGATCAGAGGTTGTTTGTAGCGGCGCTACTGTTCAGTCGGAGAAGTCATCAAAAAGAGAAGACTACGGCGGTGGTAGGTAGCGGATGGCGTCAAGCTTCAGATCTGAGAGCTTGGAGATGGTGCTGGTGAGTTTGGTCAGCTATCTGAGGTGGTGGTAGAGCTGCAACATTTGAGGGAGGCGACGATTCTAGATGGTTGCGGTGGTGTGTGGCGGAGGTAGGTGGTGGCAGTCGGTGGTGTTGAAGTTTATGAGTTCTTGAAGATTCATGAGAGTTTTGAAAAAGTTTGAGAGAGTTTTAAAGTTTTTTTGAAGTTTGAGTGTATGAGATCTGATGTTTAATGGGTGTAATGTTATGAATGTATTTGACAAAAATACCCTTAATGAAATGGTTCTTAGAGGTTCTTAATCTTTTTTGGTTCTCATTTAAACATTTACCTATATATATATATATATATATATATATATATATATATATATATATATAATATCAGGTAAGGTTCAATAGAGAACTATAATTAACAATGAACCAATGAAACAATCGTGAGCGTCGGAAATCATAATGATAAACAGCCAAGGAAATAGATGTACACTTGTAAATTGGACGCACACATATCGGATTATACCAAAAAAATTCATCTTCTTATCAAAAAACTCACCTCTTTTTTTCGTTTAAAAATTTTTTAGACCACATTTTTTATCGGAAAAAAACTAATTATACCAAAAAAATTAATTTTTTTACTCTATTAATAAACATCAACACCGACTAAAAAAAAAACCTCGATCAGTGTAGATTCACACTGTGCATCTAAACTGTAAATATTTCAATTTTGAACATTCACAATGTGAAAACGCTCGATCAGTTCAGATTCACATTGTAATTCTGACTTACTATTATGCACAGTGTGAATCTGAGAAGGTTCACAATGTGAATCTGAATAGGTTTACAATATGAATCTGAACAGGTTCACAATGTGAAACTAAATTGAAATATCGTTTTTTTTTTTGCTTTTTTATTATTTTTTTATTTAACATTAATATAAATCTATGTTTAAAAAGTACTAAAACTATGAATTTTGATATATTTATTAATTTTTTTTATAAAAAAAATAGACCTTAACTTTTCAACAAAGAAAATGAATTGAGTTTTTTTTCGAAAATAACAAAAAGTTCGTTTTTTATATATCATCATGGATCTCTATGGAAAGAGGACGAAAAATCGTGAACAACGGTATATTCGGGTTTTTTTTTCGATAAAAAACATGGCCTAAAAAAATTTTAAACGAAAAAAAGAAAGTGAGTTTTGTTATAAACCGGTACATGTGCGTATATTGTAAAAGTCTACAACTATTCCTTTTTCCGTTGATCGCTTTAAATTTTGACGCTTTGAGTTGACTCTTTGGTTTCTTAAGTAATCTCTATTAAACTTTTCCATATATATATATATATATATATATATATATATATATATATATATAGATATATATATATATATATATATATATATATATATATATAGACACACACACACTAAATTGAATGAGAGAACCAACAAACTTTTTATCTATAATGAATTTAGCTATCAAATTTCACATTTGAATGTACATACATATATCTAAAACAAATATAAAAAAAAATTGAAAAAAAAATTTATATGCATGTACATATGTATATTTTTTTGAAAATGTATATTTATACAAAAAAAACATATGAATATTCATTAAAAATGTATTTTTTTCGAAAAAAAAAATTTTAATCTTAGTTTCGAAACTTAAGGTATATTTTCAATTATTTAAAGAAATTATTATTTTTTTATTATTTTTATTATTTTTGTTTTTTTAATCAGTGAAAATATTCATTACATTTCGATATTAATATTAAAAAAAAAAAGAATTTTTCAAATAAAATGCATTTTAATGCATATTCATATTTTTTGTGTATATGCATATTTTTAAAAAACGTGTGCATATGCACATGCATATTTAAAAATAAAAATAAAACACTTTTGGTGCTTTTATATATATATATATATATATATATATATATATATATATATATATATATATATATATATATATATATATATATATAAAAGAGTAAGCATATACATATACATATAAATATGAAAAAAATATGAATATTCATTAAAAATGTA